AGTCCGAGCCGAGGGCCCCCCCGAGATCGGGTTTCGGCGGTCGGGCGAAGCAGGGGCCAGGCGGAGCGCCCCGGGGGCGGGCAGCGGGCCCGCGTGCCGTCTCCCGGGGCCCGTGGTCGTCGATGGGGCAGTGGCAGGGCAAGGCACGCGCCCGAGGCTGGCAGTGCGGCGTGTGTCTGCCTTCTCGCCCTGCGGCGCCTCCTCCCTGCGGGAGCTCATGCGAGGGTCCCGGGGCCCCAGAAGTCCGGGCGGGGGAGGAGGAGGAGGAGGAGGAGGAGGAGGAGGAGGAGGAGGAGGAGGAGGAGGAGGAGGAGGAGGAGGAGGAGGAGGAGGAGGGGGAGGAGGAGGAGGAGGAGGAGGAGGAGGAGGAGGAGGAGGGGGAGGAGGGGGAGGAGGAGGAGGAGGAGGTGGAGGAGGAGGAGGAGGAGGAAGGGGAGGAGGAGGGGAAGGAGAGGAGGGAGGAGGAGGAGGAGGAGGAGGAGGAGGAGGAGGAGGAGAAAGAGGAGGCGGTGGAGGAGGAGGCGGAACTCCCATCGCGGACGGGCTGGCCGACGGGCCGCGGTGGCGAGACGGACCTGGCGGCGCTAGCGTTGGCGGCGGCCGCGGGCCACGCCGCGTGCTGTTCGCTGCTGCTCGCCTCGCGCGCGAGCGCCGACGCGCAGGCGGAGGACCTCTGGCGGTAAGTCGGGCATGTCCCCCTACATGAGGAACATCCAAAAATAGTAAAACAATGCACTGGGGACGGGTTGTTTTACATTAAGTTTGACTACTCTTGAGTAGTTGTTGACTACTGATTGAAGGATATTTGACAGTTCATTCTGAGAAAGCAGATGTTTCGCACCTGTAGTGGGTTATGGCGCGTCCGCCAGTAAAATTTTCAGGCGCATAGGTGCAGTATTACTATTGAAACACTTAGAGGAACCGACGTTGGATAAAAACAGAAAAAAACGTGATTCTTCGAGTTTCTCAGGTCTTGCTCTAGACGCTTTCTTCATGCTTACCGAGGAGCGCCGTGTGAGAAAAGAGCTCTACGAGGGCCCCGGCGGTAACCTGGTTGACGGTTTACCGCCAGTTCCCAGTACCTCGTAGAGCTCTTCGTTATCGATGAGCTAGAGGAATTCCGGCGCGGGGTGGAGCTAGTTGGCCGACCCGGCCAGAAAGGACAAAGTGATAATTTTTGGGTGGTTTTGCGAAAAATACCTCGTAGAGCTCTTCGGCATCGATGAGCTAGAGGAATTCCGGCGCGGGGTGGAGCTAGTTGGCCGACCCGGCCAGAAAGGACAAAGTGTGTTACGTTTCTTCCAACATCCGCCTGTACGAGGAAAATCCAAACATAATTGTTAAAACGATCGTTTTCCCCACCCAGTGCTTGCACTGAGGGGGTCCTAGCGGAAGTTGAAGGATTCGGCGAGAGTTTCCCGCCGATTTTGGTAGTAGGCTGGGTTCCCTGGTTCCGAGTTCCTGGTTCTCGGGATCCGGGTTATTGGTTCCAGGCCGATTTCGGTGGGTTTTGGGTTCCCGGGCTCCCGGGTTCCCGGTCGATCTCCTCAGCGAAATCCATCCATTGTGGTGTAGTTATATTTGTTTGGGGGGCTATGTTTGAGTATTTGTTGGCTTATTTGTTTGTTTCTTCCAAGGTCCGCCTGTAGGAGGACATGCCCGACCTAATTCTGGCGCCAGTCTGCGCCGCAACGGGCGCGCCTCGTCCGATCGGCTCGGCGGTCGATCGATCGGCTCGGCGATCAACCGACTCGGCCCCTCCCTGCCCTGATTCGAAGAAAAACGCTTGGGCCTCCTAGATGGGGCCCGAGTACATGGGGTCGGAGGATTGCGACGCATCGCCGATGCATCGGCGCTGCGGCTCGATGCGGAGCCCGATTTTCTCCGCGTCGGCTTCGCCGATGCACCGCCGACCTCGCCGATGTATCGCCAACGCATCGGCGATGCATCGGCGATGCACTGGCGATGCGGCGGGGTCCGCCGATCCCATCTACGCGGGCCCCATCTAGGAGGCCGTCTCTTTTCCGGCGTAAGCAGAAATTTTCGGCGCTCCGCGCGGATTCCTTGCATCGGTGATGGGCCCCCCTTGCGGCGCCTCCAGCGCCTTCCCTGGCGCGCTCCTCGTGCCAGGGAGGAGGGTCAGAGCAGATCTCCGAAGCCCGGTCGGAAGGAGCTCCGAAGTTTCTGTTCATACGGTTTTTGTTGTTTCAGCGGATCCTCGAAGAGGGAAGGGCACGTGCGCCTTCCCTCGTCGCCACGGCCGGATGCGCCCCGGGGTCCCGGAGGGGTCCGTGGAGCAGCGGTGCCGGTATATTGACGTGCCCCCCAGATCTTCCTCTTTCTCCTCTCCCTCCCTCGCCCTCCTTCGGGGGTGGACAGAACCCCCAACAGTGACACGTCGATTAGTGAATTGTCTTTTTGTCGGTTCTCGAGAGGGCGCCGCTGCCGTTATTTTCCAGGCTCGCGCCCGCCAGGTTTGAGCCTCGGGTCGTTTTCGCTAAACCACGTTTTGCTAAAGGGAGGTCTGTCCATCCCCGACCCCCTCGCAGGCCTAGAGATAGACACCAACACCAATATCGGCGGTGTTCCTAACACCGAGGGAGGAAAGATCCCGATCTCGGTGATGGTGGTAATATTCTGGCTTACAAGGTGGGCGAAACAATTTCACCAACATCGAAGTCTAGGATTATCTCCCCCTGTGGTGGCAGCCCCCTGTCTTGGTGTTGGTGCCCATTTCCAGGCCTCCGACCCCCATCCGTCCCCCCCTGCTCTCGAGAGGGCGCCGCTGCCGTTATTTTCCAGGCTCGCGCCCGCCAGGTTTGGGCCTCAGGTCGTTTTCCCTAAACCACGTTTTGCTACAGGGAGGTCTGTCCATCCCCGACCCTACAGGAAGTCTAGGATTATCTCCCCCCTGTGGAGGCAGCCTGCTCTCGAGAGGGCGCCGCTGCCGTTATTTTCCAGGCTCGCGCCCGCCCGCCAGGTTTGGACTTCGGGTCGTTTTCCCTAAACCACGTTTTGCTACAGGGAGGTCTGTCCATCCCCGACCCCTCCTGCGGGCAATACTTCTGTCCATATCCACTGCAGTATGGAGTTTCGGGCTCACTTCCCCAGAAACCCGAAGCACACTGTATATGGATAGATTTGCCCACCGTAGGGGCTAGGTTTTTATCCATATCCAGTGCGCCTCGGCCTTGAGGCGCTTCTTCCAAAAAAGTTCAAGACGCCCTGGATATGGATAGAAGTCTCGCCCGCACCTCCGTCCCCCCCCTGCTCGCCCGCTTGTCCGCAGCGCCTCTTCCGCCTCCGCCCGGCCTCCTCTCGGAGGACAGCGGGCGGATATTCTGGCTTACAAGGTGGCCGAAATATCACCACCAACATCGAAGTCTAGGATTATCTCCCCCCTGTCTTGGTGTTGGTGCCCATTTCCAGGCCTCCGACCCCCCTCCGTCCCCCCCCTGCTCGCCCGCTTGTCCGCAGCGCCTCTTCCGCCTCCGCCCTCGCCTCCTCTCGGAGGGCAGCGGGCGGAGCAGGGACTCGCCAGCGGTCGGGGAGGTCCGCGCGGGTGTCTCGCGGGGCGGCGCCGGCCCCCGTCCCTGCGGGCGCCCCTGGCGCACGCGATTGTCCATTCGGGGGTGGACAGGCCTCCTCCTCCTCGTCCTCGTCCTCCTTCTCCTCCTATCCTCCTCCTCCTCCTCCTCCTCCTCCTCCTCCTCCTCCTCCTCCCCTGGCCTTCTGAGAAGTATTCGTTGCCTCTTTTTCTCGAGAGTGGACAGACCTCCTACCCCGACACGTCGATGAAGGAATTGGCCGTTGTCGGTTCGCAGGAGGGCGTCGCGGCCGTCGTTTTTGCGGGTCCAGGTCCGTCGATTTCGGTCCCAGGCCGTTTTTACTAAGGGGAGGTCTACGAAAGGGAGGTTTGTCCACCGCCGATCCATGGTCGCTGCCCCCAACTCTGGACGCCAAGGGGGTATCGTTAAGTCGGGCCTGTCACTCTGCAGGAGGAAAGTTCCCAAATAGTCAAAAAATAGTCAGGGGGTGGACAGACCTGCCCTGACACGTCGATTTAGGAATTGGCCGTTGTCGGTTCGCGGGAGGGCGTCGCGGCCGTCATTTCTGCGGGTCCAGGTCCGTCGGTTCCGGTCCCAAGCCGTTTTCATTAAGGGGAGGTCTACGAAAGGGAGGTTTGTCCGCCGCCGATCTATGGCTGCTGCCTCCAACTCTGGACGCCAAGGGGGTATCGTTAAGTCGGGCCTGTCCCTTTGCAGGATGAAAATTCCCAAATAGTCAAAAAATAGTCTGGCGACGATTTTAACACCATTTTTGACTGTTTCAATATAGTTTTTGACTGCTGGCGCCCCTGGCGCACGCGATTGTCCATTCGGGGGTGGACAGACCTCCTACCCTGACACGTCGATTAAGGAATTGGCCGTTTTCGGCTCGCGAGAGGGCGTCGCGGCCGTCATTTTTGCGGGTCCAGGTCCGTCGGGCCGTTTTCACTAAGGGGAGGTCTACGAAAGGGAGGTTTGTCCACCGCCGATCCATGGCTGCTCCCTCCAACTCTGGACGCCAAGGGGGTATCGTTAAGTCGGGCCAAATTCCAAAATAGACAAAAAATAGTCTGGCGACGATTTTAAAACCATTTTTGACTGTCTTATGGTATTTTGTTGACTAAGTTTTACTTTTCGTCCAAAATCCCCCTGTAGGGGGACCGGCCCGACGTAAGGGCATGGATGGAAGACATGGCGTCAGCGGGCGGGTCTTATCGAAGACGAAGAGAAGTAGCGAAACTTTGGGCGCTCCGCACGGATTCCTTGGATCCGCGCTGGACACCCCCTGGTGGCGCCTCCGGCGCCGCCCCCTCCGCGCGCCAGGGAGGGGGCCCCAGCGCAGATCCAAGAACTCCGCGCAGAGCGCCGAAAGCCTATGTTCATGCCGTGTTTTTTTCCCTCTCGTGCAGTGCCACCACTCTGACCCCTCCCGTGGTTGGCGTGTGAGCAGAGGCGTGGGTAAAGCGGCGATCGCCCGAGGACGCCGGCAACCGCGCCCCGCTGCACTTCGCGGCCTACGATCCGGCTCGGCCGAGGGCCCCCGGGGCCCGCGTGGGCTTCGCGCGGATGCACCCTCCCAAGTCCATCCCGAGTTTCGGGCCTTCAGCCTCTGCCACCGAGCTTGTTCCTTTACAGTCGGGGCCCTGAAGAAGGAACCCTTTTCGTTGGCGAGGGGCTCCGCGTCCCTCAAGTGTTTCACAGCTTGCCCCAGGCTTTCCTTCTGCGTTCGACAGGAAGTAGAAGGTTAACTTATGGAAGAAAGGGGCCTCGTTCCTTATCTAGGGTTCCTTAGGTCAACGCCCCGACTGTACTCGCAAAGTGCCTACTCGCATTATGATGTTCCAACCTACTGTAGCCTTGACCATCAGAAAAGAACTTCGAGCACCAGAGAAGTACCGACTCTCTAGGGTTTGCACGTGCCGGGCCGTGGGAGGCACTCGCCCGACGCTGGTTCGACACTCTGTCGACACTTTTCCGGGTGCTCGACATTAGTTCTGAGTTGTGGTTCTGAAGCACGATGGGAGCAGCATTATTCGCAAACGTCAGAAAAAACAAATGTTTGCCTCGACGTGATGGGTCGCACATGTTCCCCTCGGTGGATCCAGGCCGTTGGCGAGTGCCTCTGGGCAGCGGTGGGTCCTGGCTCGCTCTTGCGGGGCAAGCTCGGGCCTGTGTGGACGAGCTCGGGTCCCCTCCGGTCCATGGCCGCGGCCCGCGGGTGAGCGCCCGTCCACTGGAGGCCCCACTGACGGGCACTTCGGCCAGCGACCTTGAATGCAGCCCATCCCAACGCGGGGGCGCTTGCAGCATCCTGTTGGGATGCCCGAGAGAGGCCTCAGAGCGGCAGCTTTCCCAGACACCCGTCCCTGGGACCGGTTCTGCTCATGGCCCCTGGGGCCCAGTAAGAGCTTCCGGAGGCCCAGTAAGAGCTTCAGAGGCCGAACACAGTCGTGCTGACAATCCGGACAGCGGGGCCCATGGCCTGCGGTCGAGACGCTGAGCCGCTTCGGCCCGGGGGTGTGAGGAGGAGGAGGAGGAGGAGGAGGAGGAGGAGGAGGAGGAGGAGGAGGCGGGGGAGGGGGAGGGGGAGGAGGAGGAGGAGGAGGAGGAGGAGGTGGAGGAGGAGGAGGAGGAGGAGGAGGAGGAGGAGGAGGAGGAGGAGGAGGAGCGTGTCGTTAGAGGGTGACCGCAGGCGTAAAGCCGGATCACAGAAAAGTCCCACAGGGGGGGACGGTGAGCATTAGGCCACCCGGTCTGGCAGCCGCTCCGCCTGAGGCTTCCGCGCAATTGTCATGCAGGGAGCGTGTTCTCGCCTCAATTCTTGGCATCGCTCGGACGTGTGCATTTTTCCTTCGGCGCGGACAATTGAGGAGCATCCTTGATCATTTGGCGAAAAAGCCACGCACGAAACCAAAAAAAACACAGGGCATGGACGTCCGAGCGATGGCGAGAATTCGGAGGTGGATCGACCTCCTACCCTGACACGTCGATTAAGGAATTGGCCGTATTCGGTCTGCGAGAGGGCGTCGCGGCCGTAATTTTTGCGGGTCCAGCTCCGTGTCGGTTTCGGTCCCAGGCCAGGTCCGTCGGTTTCGGTCCCAGGCCAGGGGTGAACCTAAATTGTGTTTTGGCGATGTCGTGGGCCGTTTTCGTTTCGGTTTCGTTTTCCGTGAAAGGCGGATTGAAGACAAAACGAGGGAAAACGACAACAAAACGAAAATGAAAAACACTGTTTAGGTTCAGCCCTGTCCCAGGCCGTTTCCACGAAGAGGAGGTTTACTAAAGTGAGGTGTGTCCACCGCCGATCAATGCGGGCTTCAGTTTTTTGCCCAGACGGCCTCGATCCCTGGCACAAAAGATTCTACGAAGTCGCGCATGGCCGTGCTATCACTTCCATGTTCTTCTTAGCCGACCTGCTCAGCCCGCCTCTGCACCCCTGCTGCGGTGGGCATCGCGACGCGAGGGGCTCTGGGCTCGGCGGGGTCTCAAAGGTCAGATGAGCAAGAGGTCGTCATAATTGATACCCTCACATCAGAGGCGGGGGCCGCTGGCTACTTTCTGGAACTCCCGTGACGCACTCTGAGCCAATGTGATCCTGCCGTCGCTCTCGCTTGAGATTCTCTAAGTGCAGCTCTGGGGATGCGGCCTGTTCAGTGAAGCCCCGGGGATGCGGTGGTGATGCGGGGCCAGGGCCTGGTCGGGGGGGCGCGGGGTTCCCGTCTTCGCTGCGAGTTCACGCCGCGATGCAGCTGCTCGAGTCATCAGGGTCGCGTTGCAGCAGGTGCGGCGACCCTTGCACACGTTTTCAGCGAGTTGCAGATGCTCCTTGACAGGAGATTCAGGGCGCGAGCGCAGGTCGTGGCTCGGCAATGCGGACGCGCCGCCGCGGCTGTCGCGCAACAGAGCAACAGCACTTCACTAAAAGGCTCGCTTCCTTTACAGTCGGCCCAGATTAGTAGGTCGACCATGCCAAAGCAAGGGTACTCCTCTCGTGTCCTGTGCATCGCGCGTCGTGTCCTCTGCAGCCCAGGAGCAAGGTATCCTTGCGTCCTGTGGTTTTGGAGGCCATGTTGCCGTCGGAAGAGTCTTGTGTCCTGTCGCGCGTCCTGTGCGCAATGTTCTGCCTGTAGCAGACAGCTCCGTCGACGTAATCGTGTGGATCTTCCGCTTCCCATAGAAGCATCCGCTAGTGAGCACCACCTGCGGTGCCGCGGTCCCGGGGACCCCTCGGCGGGGCTACGCCGATGCCCACGTGGACGTCGTCCGGCTGCTGCTGGAGGCGGGCGCCGACCCGCGGCTGCGGAGCACCACGGGCGGCACCGCCCGGGACATCGCCGCGCAGCGGCTGAAGGATCGGGCGGTCGGCGGAAGGGCCCACACCCAAGCAGTGGCGAAGCGTGCTGGCTCGCCTGTAGGCCCACCATAGAATGTGCTAACGACATTTGTTCGTGGCCTGCGCGTGACGTTCTCTCAACATTTCTGGCTGGGACGGTCCTGTTTTAATGCATCGGGTCTACTTTCTAGGAACATGGCTCTTGTTCTTGCAACATTTGTTGGGGTTCTAAGAACATGTCGTGGTAGGCCTATAAGAATGTCGGGACGGTCGGTCTCTGCTCAAAAAAAAATCCGGATGGGGAAAAATCAGAAACACAAGAGGTCGTCGACGCCCAGGAAAGTTCGGAAACATGTGTGTGAACTGGGGGAGGGGGGTAGCGCGAAGGCCCAGGGAAAAATATTTGAAATGTGGGGGGTCTTGGGATTTGTGTGTGTGTGTGTGTTTGTTTGCGTGTCCCTGGGCCTCTTGAAAGGCCCTTTTGAAAGGGCCTCACCGCGTCCTCGGCGGGGGGGTGGCGGAAGGCAACGCGAGGGCGGCTCCGCCACCGGGGGGGCTGGCGGGAGGTCAGCGGGACCCGGCGGAAGTAGAGCCCTGACCTTCCAGAACGTTAGAACAATAGCACTCCAGACCTCTAGTTCTATGTGGACTGCCGCAAACCTCGACAGGAATGAGGACGTCGACGTCCTGGGTTTTTTTCCTGCCCTCCGGGAAGGTCTGGGGAACGCGCCCCCGAGAGATGGCGTCACTGATCTTGCCCCCGCCGAGCACGAACAACCGCCATAAACATACGCTTAAGGCGCTCCGCGCGGGTTTCTTGGATCGGCGCGGGGCCCCCCCTTGGCGGCGCCTCCGGCGCCGCCCCTGTCGCGCTCCGCGCGCCAAGGGGGGGGGGTCGGGCGCAGATCCAAGAACTCCGCCCGAAACGCTAGAAGTTTAAAGTAGTTATGCAGTGATGTTGTTCCCTAGGAAGGCCAGCCGAAGCCGGCGGAAGTAAAAATGCGCCCCCAAGAGATGGTGTATTTTTTTTTGCCCACCCAATCGGGGGGAGGGGGTGTCGCCAGTTAGTGGACGCCCAGGCTCTGGGAGGCCCTTGGGGCAATCTTGGGGCGGAAGGTTCGAAATGTCCGATCGTGTGATTAGGGCACTTTGGACCGTCTTGGAGGGTTGGAAGCTGAAAAAGGCGAGAAGGCTATCATCCTTGAAACACCTAACGGAAGTCAATGATGTTGGCACCTTGACGCCCTTTTGTGGGTCTTCTTGGAGCGCTCTTGTGGTCTTTTGGCGGCCTCTTGGGGGTTTGAGGGGCCATTTTGGGCGTCTTGGAACGCTCTTGGGCTATATCGGATGCCTCTTCGACCCCTATGGTTGGTGTCCTAGGGTTGGTGCCGTCAGAAGGGAGAGGGGGGAAGAAAAACGAGGAGCAGGAGGAAGGAGGAGGAGGAGGAGGAGGACGAGGAATAATTGGAGGGGGAGGGGGATGGCACCAGGACGGGCGATAGGGACTAGCACTTGGAAGGAGAACGCCCTGGGCGTTTGTGCAGCGTGCTCTACTGCGGGCTCTTGACATGTTGAATACGCTAAAAACAATGTGTTGATGTTTCAGCGCTTTCATGGCAGTTATGTCAGCGTCTTCAGGCCCGTCGTTGTGGAATGCTGCTTTCTAGCGTTTCCCTTTGGTTTCTTTTCGAGCGTTGATCGGTGTCTTCCTTTCCGTCTTCGCTCCCGCTCTCCCGTCTTCGTAGCATTCACAGATGGGGTGGTGGCTGAAAGTGGTTCCCGCGCGCACATCTGAAAACAGTGAGCAAGCGCTCTGACACTGTCGATTGAGGCCAAGTCCAGATGGAGTAAGTCCGTACGGTACGTGGCAAGCGGTCTCCGCATGGGCTTACTCCGTCTCGGCTCCGCCTCTCCTGGCAGGAGGCCAAGTCCATAGAGGGTGCGTCTGTACGTAGGGCTCGGTCTCCGTATGGGCTCCGCTGTGGGAAAACTGCAGATTCGAAAGACAAAAGCAACCAACCGTCGTGGTATCGCTGGGATGTGAAGACGCTTAACCAACTTTGCATCGCTCGGACGTGTACATTTTTCTCGGCGACAACCATCGAGGACCATCCTGGACCATCGAGCAAAAAAAAACACGCACGACATCGAAACATGCACGGGAAATGGACGTCCGAGCGACGGCAAGCCAATGAGTTCCAACACGCCGAGCTGAAAGCCGTCAAACAGAGCGCCCAAGGCACATGCAAGTGGAGCGGAGCGGGAGGGGGATCCCGAGAGGATTGCCCGCAGGACGGTGGAGACGGAGTGACGACAGCACGAGCACGAGGAAGGAGGTGGCTTGTGGGGGAGCAAGGAGGGGGATGGGAGGAATGAGGGGTGGGATGAGGAGGGGAGTGTGATGGGAGGAGCAAGGAGGGGTGGGAGGAATGAAGAATGAGTGGCTGGGCCTGAGTTGGCGGTAGTGAGGAGCTGCCGGGGTTGGCGCAAACGACACACCATAGTTGTACACGATCCGCGGGAAGGAGGAAGGAGGGGTGGTAATGAGGGGTGGAGGAATGATGGGTGGGAGGAATGAGGGGTGGGATAAGGAGGGGTGGGCTTAGGGGGGGCAAAGAGGAATGATGAGGGATATGCAGGAAGTGGGAGGGAGGAGGTGGGAGGAGGCGGGAAGGCCCAGGTTTGTGTCACCTGCGTGTCATCGCTGGACTGCGCCATGGACTGCGCTGGAGCCTCAGCGTAAACTGCTTGCTCGGAACGTTCTGCATCGATGTTCCGTGTCAGCAATTTCGCATGATTTCGGTAGGGTCTCTTGGTAGAAGTCGAGAAGGTGGCGAGTGAAGCACCACTTGTCTGACGCTGTTGTCAATTGTCTCGCCCACCGCATCACATATCATAAATGAGGGAATTGTCTCCACACGACGCGTCGGTCGAGCGTTCCTGGCTGTTTAGGTCTCGTTGTGTTGAAGAAATCGCCAGCTTGATGTTTTGCCATTGCCCAGTTGCGCGCCGATCCTGGCGTGGATGCATCGCCCAGGATGGGGTGCTTCGGCAAGATGACCTCGGCATCGGCATTTCCTGGAAACCATGACTGCCGCATCCAGCACTGGCAAGCATTGCGCCGTTCCCCAAGACACTCTGTGCTTACGCGTTTCTCCGACAGTCGCATCATTGCGCCGATCCTGGTCCCGGGGTTGGCTCGGCCACAGGCGGCGCCGGTGCGTAGAGAAAGATGCGAAGTTGGCGCCCTCCCAGAGGAGACACGGATTGGCAGCGGGGCCGACGACGACGACCAGGACTTAAGATGCAATTCCTGGGAGATCGGATGCTGAATCGGCGCTGGTCTATCCCTGGTCGAAGATTGGCCTGATCTGGCCTGATCCCCCTCAGTCCCGCCCAACCTGGTTTCTGACGAGAGTGAGTGCTTTGAGCAGTTGAGCCCGTAAAGTCCGTGACGGAGGGTCGCCCCCCCCCTCCGTAGCGATATCGAACGTACGCGTTGGTGGTGCCGGCCTTTTCTCATGTACGGTAGGTCCACGTCGTGTCGATTTGCGGCGACCCCGCCACCGGCGTTCAACGTTGAACGCGGCCAGCGACCCATCATCGGTCGATGTTTAACGATCGGACGTTGCGGGACCGACCGATCGTTCAAGGTTGAACGATCCCCGCGGTGTCAGGAACCAACGCTGGGGTCTACACGACACGAACCTGCCGTGTGGCGCGATGTTTCGGCACGGTCGAAAGGGGTACGGAAAGAATAGGTACAATGCCCAACAGGTGTATTTGTCCACTCTGAACCGGACTCGCGGTCCGCGCCGCCGCGGCCTGTGCCCATTTGAGACAGAAGGCCGCCTGCCCAACAGCGGCCGCTGTTGGCTTGGGACAGCATTTGTTGTTGGGCACTGTACCCATTCTTTCCGTACTCAAAATCCCTTATTCATCGACCCCCCCCTAAAAACCGACCCCCCCTCCAAATGCGACATGATATTCTGGACCCCCTTCTTCGACGGGGCTCCTTAATAAACCGGACCCCTAAGCTCCAATCCAAAGAAAGCGCCCTAATAAACCAGACCCCCCAGTTACGAAAAAGGCGCCTTAAAAACCGGACCCAGGGGACGATTAATAAGGGATTTGGAGTACCCATTTCGGGAGTCCAAAATGTTCAGGGGCGGGCCGTGGTGCTAACAGGCATTCGTGTGGTGCTCGCAGGCATGCCGTGGCGCTCGTCGCAAAAAAAAACGCCCGCTGCGCCCGGCATGCCAGGAGAGCGCCGGGGATGCGGTATTGCTGCTGCTTCTGCTGCTTCTGCTGCTGCTCCGGTTCTTCTGCTGCTCCTGCACCAGTTCGAAGCTCTGCAGGACGTGTGTTAGCCCAATATGTGCTTGCCTCCTTAAAACCCAGACAGTCGATCATCACATCGCCTTCGCCCTGAGGTTCATCGACCAGTGTTCCTCCTCTTCTTGTGCTCTTCCTGCCGGTCCTCCTGCCGCTCCTCCCGCTGTTCCTCCTCTTGCCTGCTGCTCTTGCTGCTCTTGCTGCTGCTACCCTTCCGCCTCCTGCTGCTTGCTCCTGCTGCTTGCTCCTGCTGGTCGTCTGGCCGCCACTCCTGCTGCTCTTGGGGTTGCTCCTCCTGCTGTTCCTCACGCAAGTCTTCACACTTGACAGTGTTGACCGGCCAGAAAAAGGCGCCGCCAGGGCGACTTCTCCCCGCCGTTCCAGTGCCTTCCCAGTGCCGGTCGCCGCGCTCGTCCCCACCCGTCGGGGTGCTCGGATCGATCGATTGGTCGCGCTGCACGCGTCCTCGCTTGTGGCTGGCTGGAGCTTGGCGCCTACAGGGCGACTTCTCCCACCGTCCCGCCGCCGGTCGCCGCGCCTTGGCGTCCCCACCCGCCGGGATGTCTGCGCCAGTCTTTGGCGTTTAATTTGGGTCATTTTGTCCCTTGCATGTGCATACGCCACTGCGGCCAATTATCTTCGTCTCGCGCCCCGTACGTTGCCCCGTTTCTTGACTTTCGCCA